ATTTATGATTAATTGTTATAATTAATTACTGTTTATTTTTAACTATTATAACTTTTATGGCTTGTTTTTACGTTTACGGGAGATAAAGAAGCCACTGTGGTTCATGATCGGTGGCGTATTAGTTAAGACACAACTTCGTCGGGGTGATCGTTGTTACGAAAAGTGTTTACTTAAGAAAAACTTTGGTTTTATGCAATAAATACTAACTGTAAATATTGAATTTTGTTGTCATAATTATAAATCTGATTGAGTCATAGTGCATTAGTGAGTGAAAAATCCCGTACCCCTATAACGATTTGGAGAGAAATATGAACTTGTCAGGAGCGTGTGTCGGGGGGGGTGTCATGTTCCTTTCTCCTGTGTCAAAAAATGACATAAACTGCGCAATAAGTTCTCAAAAGGCGTCGCGGGTTTCCATCAATATTTCCCTTCCAGTGAATTTATCTCCTCCTCTTAATCAGAAGCGTAGAACTTTACGATCTAGTGAAAACAGCGTTCTGATTCCGCTAACGGCATTGTGACTGGTTTATCCTTCCGCTACATTTCCGCTTCCGACTCCGACAATCTGGTTTTCAAGTGATCGTAAACGATGGAGTGTCAAGCGGAGTCAGAAGATAATGGAAACGTTCTGATTCTTCCTCCCCCGATTCCGTCGATGACTCCGCTTACGACTCCGATTTTAGTTATTTCACCAAGTCATAAGCACTCTTACGACGACTCCTCTAGCCTGCGTGGCAGGCGCAAAAAGGGGAGGGAGAAGGGGAGGGAGAAAAGCACGAAAAAAGGGAAAGGGAAGGGAGCCCTTCCCCTCTCTCCCCTACCCCCCTCCCTTTTTCCCTTTTCCCCTATCCCCTACCCCCCTCCCTTTTCCCCTATCCCCTAACCCTTTCGACGTCTGCTACGCAGGCTACGACTCCTCTTACGACTACGACGCTAGTGAAAGTCAGCCTTTTTGTGACGGATACACGTTTTTTGGTCGCGCAGTGAAATTCAAAAAGATAAACGTGAATGAGACTAATAAGTCTACTCTCTGGCGGGACGAACCGTAATCTATCGTATTCCTACGGCCGGGAAATATTTTTTACAATAAATTGTAAAAGAACCATGAGCATAAACTTTGTGCAATATTAAACGTTGAAAGGGGTGTACATGATAAGTGTAAATTCTAGCTACCCTGTTTTTTAAAATTTATTTATTTAGTCATTTTTCTGGCTTGTTTTTCTATCGATTTGATTTCTATTTTGCCATAATTAATTACGTGGAGGTATGGGCGATGTTATTGTAAATATATCTGAAAATGGACCAATTCCAATATACTCGTCAACAATGTTGATTGCCACTCAATACATTTGTAGAGCTCCTGATGTAGTCCTGAGTTCCATTATAAGGTCAATCGAGCGCGCACCCTAAATGTTTTGCGTAGCGGTCTTTTCAATTTTTTTCACTTTAGTTCTTTGAATTTAGTTAGCCGGATGCACATCTTGACTTGCCCAAAATTTACTGAACACAAACTGTCTCATTTCTTTTTGTCGCCAGCAATAAATGATTGGATTAACAAGCGAGTTGAAGTAAACAAACGTGCGAACCGTCAATTGAACCGTGTACCTACTTGATTGAGGCAATTGGCGAGTGATTTGTGCCCAAAAAGTTCCCGCTGAAACTCTCAAAAAACTACTGACTAATAGCCATGCAGCTGCGGGCGTCAGGCACATCAGAACAGCTCCAACTATATACACAGTTGTCTTGAGTGCTTTTCTTTCTTTAGAAAATCTCTCTTTTTCTTCTTGGGGAAGTTGTCCAGCTTTGATCAAACGTTCATGCCGTCGCGTTTCTCTGTACAACATGCCGTAAGAAAATGAAACAAAAATAACACATGAAATTAAAACAAGACCTGTTAAAGCGTTTGTAAATATTGTTTGGTTTGTAATAAGTGCTACTAGTTCAGAAGAAAGACAAACGATCCAAAATGCAATCACTGCCAGCTTGATGTTTCTATTTGTAACAATGTAAGGGTAGTGCATGGTAAATTTGATCGCTACAAGTCTCTCCCACGACACCAACATCAAGTGCAGGGCAGAACAAACGTACAGGGCGCGTGAGGCGATGTTGTGAAAAAACTCGAGGGTTTGGCTGGTCATACGTAATAGCTTCAGAGTCGTTGAGAAGATGAAGGCTGGCTGTGCTGCGAGACCATTCATGGCGTCCGTGACTGCTAAACAAGCCAGCAAGATATTGGGTTTATTTCGAAGGCGTGGTCTTCTTTTCACCGCCAAAATCACCAACACGTTAAGAAGAACCGTGAAAGGGCAAGCGATGCTGTGAAAGATGATGTTAGTTATATAACTAATTTTCACTGGGTAAGTCAACTCTTGGTCCACCATAGTGTTTAAGAGCGACGGTCAGGAAATATCGACCATCGAGTGGCAAGAGTTGAAAAATCGACTGCCTTCATTTTTTGTCCATAAATAGCGTTTAGGTAGATAAGTAATCTGATGTAAGTTGTTCTCGCAAAAAACCTTTTATTTTCGAGAAAAGTAAGAATATCAGTTTTCGTGGTCGGAGTCTCAAAATGGCGGTATTTTCAAGCCGAAATTTGCTAACATCAACTCTTCTCGCGTTCCCAAACAAAGCCGCAAGGAGAAATTTGGACACTTTCTATCAATAGAACAACTCTTCTTCTTTCACTAAAGATACTTTCAAAGCAATATCAAGACTCGTTGAACTAACATAATTCAGAAACGAAGAACAGGTTTTTACGGTGACAAAAACTTTAATTTAGTAGTTGTTTTCTGTGGCATTTTTCTTCCTGTGGTATAGCTCCAAATTTTCCCGGTCCTCTTTTATTCACACATTTAGACATTCATCTAAAGCATACCTGAGAAATGGCTTGGGTTCCTTTAGGCAGCCTCCAAAAGAAAGCATCAAAGTCCGGTAAAAATAGTGAAGCGTGACCAAAATAACTTATTTAACGGCTCCAAGTTTCCTCGACCGTAATGTAAGAAGACGAAATATCTTCCTGTTTCGTCATCCTTAGCGGGTTACCATTGTTAAAGTCCACATTTTTCGATAAAAAGTGAGTACCAAAAAAAGCGCGTTTGACTTTTTCTTCTTCAAAATGCTGTCGGGATCGAAAATGTTACTCTTTCAAGAATTGCGTTACTACCGTGATTCCGTGACTGTCATTTTAACGGCTTCGTCTCTTCGAACGTACGTTATGTCACGTGCAGTCACGGAACAGATTGTCACACAGAGTCGCCGTCTGGTAGGGTTCAGCGTTTCGTTTCAAAATGGCGAAAATTGACCCAGTTTAACCTTTTTACCCCACTCTTTGATTGGAAAAAGAAATGTTGCAATGAGGAAACCTACAAGGAGTACAAAAAAAAAACGAGCCTTTACGCTGTACTAGTAAATATCTACTTTTGTACGTTTCGAAATTGGAATTGTTTACACAATTACCGCCGGCCTGCCATGAAAATTCCTGAACTTCGATGGTGTCTTACGGAGATAACGTTCAATAACCCAAGCCAATTCCCAGGTATGTTTTAAATGAATGTCTAAATGTGTGATTTAAATAGCATTAAGAGAATTTGGAGTCATACCACATGTTAAATATTGCCGTCGAAAATGAGTAACGAACTTAAGTTTTTGTTATCCTGAAAACCTATGCCTGATTTTTGAATTATTTCGGTACGACGAGCTTCGCTATTGCCCTGAAAGTATCTTTTAGTGGAAGAAAAATAATTTTTCTGTTCATGGAAAGAGTCCAAATTTCTCCATGCGGCTTCGTTTGCGAACACGAGGATTGTTAATGTTAGCGAATTTCAGGTTAAAAATTAGACAGTCTGAGACTCCGACATCGAAAACGATATTCTAATTTTTCTCGAAAATAAAAAGCTTTCGGCAGGAACAATCTACTTTAGGTTTCTTAACTACCTAAAAGCTATCCATGAACAAAAAATGAAAGAAATTGATTTTTCAACTCTTGCCACGAAACTTGTTCCTTTCTTCTTTATTTTCAGTTTTGATGCGAATTTTTAGGAAATAACAGTTGCCAAAGTTAATCACCGAAAGTTATGTTCACGCAAAGAATCAAAAAAAGATACATTTTCATCCATTTCATCCATGATTTTTTTTTACGTAGAGTAGAGTTTTGCCATTGAACTGATAACCATCCAGTACGCGTGAAGTAATTTATAACTGATGTGACCGCACGTGTAAAAACACACTCCAGGATGCTCCTGTAATTAAGGCTCAAATATTGTGCGAAGAGAAAACAGACAATAAAATTAGCCAAAACGATATACAAACAAACAAGATGTGCGAGGCAGCACTTAGAAAAACGATGTGAAATGGTAGTAGTTGCTTCTTTTTGTCAGATAACGTATTACTAACTAGTTACGCGAAAGCCTGGCTGTTCTGCGAGCCTATTCATGGAATCTGTGACTGTATTAAACTAGCCAGCAAGATGTTGGGTTTATTTCAAAGGCGTGGTCCACCTCTAAACACTAACAGCATTAAAAGTTAAGTAGAAAAAATTAAGGGCAAGAATTGCCGAATACGGACGGTTTCAACGATATCATTAACCTTACCTTGGTAATAAAGATTTAAATCCCTGCGCAGCGTAAAACCGACGCTGTTCAAAAGAGTCTTAACGGACGTTTCGGCATTACTTCCGAAACGTCGGTTGAGAATCTTTTGAACAGCTTCGATTTTCCAATTTTAAAATTAACCTTATCTTGGTCTCTTGTTCTACGGCTTGGTTTGAAAACTTGCTGGTCAGGGGCGTTGATAAAACCAGGAACCCGGAACATCCCGGAGCATCCCGGAACATAAAAAAAATAAAAGTAATTTTTATAAAAAAAAATAATAATAATGGGCTCCTGTAATAATAAATATTTTTTGCAAAAATTTGTAATAACAAAATAAATAACATAACATAACATAAAAGAGAAAAATAAAAAAAACTTGTATCATCTCTGAGTATGAGAACAATATTTTGTCGCAATTAATATTTGTTGGGCGGGTGAGGGTCCATTCAAATGACTGTCACAGTAAGTGAAGGCTTATCTCTAAATTCAAACTATAATAAAAAAAATGGGTCGCAATGCGAGGAGGGGGCTTTTCAAGCCGATGATCTGAAATGTTGGTAAGTATTTCATATCAAGCCAACATCATATAGTCTCCCTATAAACAACCGACATTTGCTTACTTGAGAGGCTTTACTTTTTGGAGGTTGACATAAAGTTCTTACAGACTATTCTCTGCGAACGAAAGGTGTGTGTGTGTGTGTGGGGGGGGGCTGTCTTTGGATTTAAGAGGAAAACATTCACATTCGTAGTAGTTTCTATACTGTTTACAGTTAGCCTAATATTTAAAACGTCTCCACAAGTCCCAAAAGGAGTTTGTGACTCGAGGAGGCGGCTGAAATTCAAGCTAGTTTACTTGTACAGTCCCCTCTTTTTTCCGCCTGATTGAGGATGGCGATCACCACTGTCACGGTGATTTGGATGTTCCCTGTGACTTTGCGTTTTTTTTTTCTTCTTTTTTTTTTCACTCTGTGTGCCGAAACGCTGCCCCCTCCCTACATTTCGAGCCCAAGCCTAACTTATCGAAGACACTTGAAGGTTTGCTCATGCGACTAATTATTATTGTTAACACTATTTTGTAGCTAACTTCACTGAATATTACAGTATGCGTTTGTTACGTGTCCGGGTCAAAGGTGAATAGAAAGGAAAGGAGCCATCTGTTTTTGTTTGCTTGTTTGTTTTGTTTTACCTTGCAAAATAAATTAATCGCGGAGGATTTGGTTCTGTCGTGTCAGTGTCATGTCTGTAGCCGTGAAACAGGCCGAGGAAGTCGGAGCTGGAGATGATACCAGTATCTTTTTCTTTCTTTCTTTCTTTATTTTTCGTTTTAATGTTATGTTATTTATTTTGTTATTATTTATTTTTATTTCATTATTATTTTATTTATTTACTTTTTTCATGAAAATTACTTTTATTTTTTCATATGTTCCGGAATGTTCCGGGGTTCCGGGTTTTATCGACGCCGGCTGGTCAGTTTGTGGGAGCGAATCAGTGTTGTCAGTTATTTCATTCACAGTTTCAAGTTTGTAACTCCATTTTAGCGTTTGTTAGGTACTGGGTATTTCGAGAACGGAATTCTGGATCCAGAGCAATTGTTGGTCTTTTATTTTACTCAAATTATTTTGAAGCTATTTGTTGTGTTAGAGCTTGTTAGTATGTTTACGAGAGTTATCCAAACAAGACAATTTAAGAGTTTCCCTTTCTAAAGGTTTTGATTGTTGTAGATATAAATTGGAGGCCTACAACGTTATTTTTTTTCGTTCAGTCTTTTAAAATATTTTTACAGAGACTCAAGAACCGATGTTGCTCTTTCCCTAAAGGTGATTTTCAGTTGAAATTATTTCAACATTGAAGATTGATTGTTTGCTCCGAGACTCGCCTCGTCCTACAACTTGTAATAAGGTCTAATGTAACCCAAAAACAGATCAGTTTCTGATCCGGTCATTTTTCTATCTTTCCTGTCCGAAAGGAGCAAAAAAAATCCGAAAAAAAAAAAAGATTCAGTGTAACCCTGGAAGCCTTGTGCAAATTTTCACATGGAGCAGCGAAATGAATTTATATATTAAAATATTTAATTACTTCAACTGTCGAAAAATGATGCGATAACAAGTGGTAAAATGCTGGGGCTGTCCTAAGAGATGTTCTTTGTCGTCTAAATCGAACTTGAACCGTGAAGCGCAGGCAGCTGAGAGAACTGTCGCTGCTTCTCGGATCAAAGTTTGTTTAAGGCGGATTTCCACTGTCGCGTAATTTTTATGTTCACACGCACGTAATTTTTACGCGCGTAAATAGAATAGAGGTAACTGCCTTTAAGGTGATTCCCTGGTTTTGCACTGCGCATCTCTTACTGCGCATAACAAGATGGCCTCCGTAAAAAAGAGCATGTGAAGTAACATCATTAAAATGAAGTTGACCGAAGAGAAACGCTATTGCAATTTTTGCTTGCGGTTGTTTCTTGCCGAGGTGAGACTCAATGTGGTGGGAATGTGCATAACGTAAGGAGTAAGCGTGTTGCTGAGTTCGACTTCCTCACGGAGAACCTCGATAGTGGATGTTTAATTTGTGCTTATTCACTTTGATTTTCATTTAAACGCTTTCTTTGTCACATTGTGTCCTGTGATATCTCGATGTAAATTCTGTAAAAACGGATTTTTTAATACTTTCCTCCCCCTTTCGCATACATTCTATTTTGAAACTCGCCCCAGTCCTCTCTCAAAAATCAAGGAAAATGCATTTGGCGCGCACTTTCTGCAGCTCTACCGCAAAAACGAGTACGGTGACCCCCAATTTTTTATTTCATGATTTTAATAAGGACAGTGCTTCCTTTCGGTGAGAAAAAATTGGCACAAATCCATGTTCAGTTTTTGGCAATTTTACTAAACTGTACGGATTGAGCTATCACGGGTCAAATAGCGCGTGTCCAATTTAATTCTACTTTGGAGCGTAAAATAAAGGCATTTTTCTGGTACGTCAGTGGATAAACAATACATTAAAGTCAAATTCTGTGTGATACCACATGCATCATTGAAAAAATCTTTCCTTTTTGTCTAGTTTTGGGCTGCCCGCGGTTTTTGTTAAAGGGTCCAAAAAAACCGTATTTGTCAGCATTGTGACGTCAAAACGAGCACGGTGACCCCCACTTTTTATTACCTTTTTATCATCTTCTTGACTTATTGCATCAGTGTACCAAGTTTCATGTACAATCTATGTTAGGTTCTTTTACTAGGGAATCACCTTAAGCCATTTACGCACGGAAATTTTACGTGCGTTCCACGGAAAAATTACACGACAGTGGAAATCCACCCCAAGGAAAAAAAAATCTGAAACTAATAAAACTGAACCTCCGGTATTGAACCTAGGAAGAGATGCCGTATTACTGAAGAAGTCATTTAATCAGCTCTTACTGAGTTAGTGGCCGACTGGCTATTTCCTATTCCTGTTTGTTGTTTTTTTTCAATTTAGTTAGCCGGATGCACATCTCGACTTGTCCAGAATTTACTGAACACAAACTGTCTCATTTCTTTCTGTCGCCAGCAATAAATGATTGGATTAAGAAGCGAGTTTAAGTTAACTAACGTGCGAACTGTCGATCTAGTCAATTGACGCAACTGAGTAAGTTGTACCCAAAATTCTTCGTCTGAAACTTTCAAAATACTACTGACTAATAGCCATGCAGCGACAGGGGTTAGGCATATCAGAACAGCTCCAACTACATACACAGTTGTTTTAAGCGCTTTGCCTTCTTTAGAAAATCTCTCTTTTTCTTCTTGGGGAAGTTGTCCAGCTTTGGTCAAACGTTCATGCCGTCGCGTTTCTCTGTACAATTAGGGCATTCTTTTACTTTGTTTTTATTGTGTACGTTAATTTTGTTCTGGACAATTTCGCAAACATTTATAACAAACCAAACATCATTCACGATGATGAAGTCTCTTTTCTGTTTGCTAGGTTTTACGTTACACTGCCAGCTTGATGTTTCTGTTTGTTACAATGTAAGGGTAGTTCATGGTGAATTTGATCGCTACAAGTCTCTCCCAAGTCACCAATATCAGGTGCAGTGCAGAACAAACGAACAGGGCGCGCGAAACCAAGTTCTGAATAACGATCGAAAACTCTAGGGTTTGTTTGTTTATACGTAATAGCGTCAGTGTTAATGCGAAGATGAAAAATGGCTGTGCTGCGAGACCATTCATGGCGTCTGTAGCTGCTAAACAAGCCAACAAGATATTGGGTTTGCTCTGAAGACGTGGTCTGCTTTTCACCGCCAAAATCACCAACACGTTAAGCAGAACAGTGAAAGGGCAAGAAATGCTGTTGAAGATGATGTTAGTTATATAACTAACCTGAAGTGGGAAAGTCAACTCTTGGTCCACCATAGTATTTAAAACCTTGCTGGTCGAATTTGACCTTGACACGTTTGCCATCAGGGGAGCGATCCTCGTGTTACAGCTGGTGCATGTTATGAGACTACTGAAGTCTTAGTTGTGGCTTATGTACACTCACACCGTAATTTTCATCCACAATTGATGATAATTTTGTTCCATTAGGCAAATTGTTTACCGACTGTCGGTTACGGTAGCTTTAATCAACGCGTTCCTTTATCCACTTCAACCCATTTTGTGCATGTTACTTTCATCATTTTTTTGTTCATTATTCTCAAACAGTGTTTTCCCGCCACTCAGGCCTCCAAAACTTTGTCACTCTGTTCGCTAAGGGCGATGATCTCTCTTTAGTCGAGCTTGCTAGCGCTTTAGCAGAGTGAGACTAAAAATGCAAGCGCTTCTTTTTTTCGTATGTCTCCCTCAAATGATCGGCCATCGTTCCAGGCGTTCCTGGCGCAGACAGTGAAAAATCCTGTTTTGTGGTATTTACGTACGCGTTCTAATCAATTTAGAAAAAACTCGTCGCAAACGATATAAAAAGTAAATATCCTGAAGAATACTCGACCACCGATAAAGTAGATATTGAAAAAAAATTAGCGAGGAAATCCTGTTTCGTGTAGAATTAATCGCCTCCTAGGCTGCGACCAGTCTCTTATTTTTCTTTTGAGTCACAGTAGGTCGAGAGAATGATTTTACTTTTTCGCTCATCAGCCGGGCGTGGTTCTGAGGAAAGAAGGACGACCGCTCGCGATCTAATCGCCTCCTCATTTCTTATCGTATCTCCAAGCAAGCGAGACCCAACGCTATTACAAGCGTTCTTGTTTTCTTTCATCTGAATATGTACTTGAAACTAAACACATTAACAGGAAAACAAGTTTCGAACATTTTGCGCCCAACATAGAATTACGGGTCTGCGGGGCAAAAACAAGCACGGTAACCCTATCTTTTTATAGCAGCTTTTCAATGTCCTACACATGACTGTCAATTGTGGAAAGTTTGAAAAAAAAATCTGGATAGCACATCCTTTTCAAGAGAATTACCTTAAGAAAGCATTTAAGATTAACTTAGTCTAATCATGACACTAAACAAAAAGGAAAGTGTTTTTGCGACCACAGTGGAAGTTCTTGTGAGCGGACAGCTCTGCCTACGGCCGCTATTACAATTCCCCATTTCAACTCTCATACAAAGTCTGTAGTCTTAAATTCCCGTAGGCGGCAGCAGACACTTTCAAGGTTTACGAGTTAGATGTTAGCTTTGTTTTTAAGTTCTCTTACTAAAAGAGGACGCTCGCCCCGAAGTGACATCTCATTCGCCTCTGAATCTTGTATTTTTTTTCATAACGCTGTTTGTCAGAATGAGTTATATCAGTTTCAGATTTTTTTTCACATGCACGTCCGGTTACACTTCAAAACACCACTTGAATTTTATGCTTGTGACTGAACTACAACGTCGTCAGAGTAACAGTATAGCCAAACACTTGAAAACAGTTTTTTCGCATCCCCAGTATTTATTTGTAGCTGGGGAAGATCCCGTTAGCGGCCATCTAACCCTTACCCCTTTAGTGGCAGCATACAAGAACCATTCTCATAAGGAAGCCAGCTTTTTCTCGTCCCGAGGATGTCTGCTTACCACAGCTTGCCCTTTATAACTTGTTCAGTTCCTAGTCCCGCCCGTCAAGTTGTAAGTTGGAGCTTTGCGAAGTTTTTCGAGACAAGTATTTTTAAATATATAAAGACCTTTTTCTAAATAACCCAGAAGGTCCTCTTAATCCACAGTAAGGTGAGCCTAACGCGTCCCCAATGTTTAAGTTTTTAAGCTAACTTACTATGGGTAAATATAGTAAACAAGTTCTGCATCAGCCTACGTGTAGAACTGAACGAATCTTAAATGACTTATGTTGAGAGAGTAAAGAAAAAAAGCGGTCGGTATTTGCTAACCTCAAGCGAGTTTATTAAGTAAACAAACGTGCGAACCGTCCACCTAGTCAGTTGACGCAACAAAGTGTTTTTGATAAAAGTTGTGCCCAAAATTCTTTCTCTGAAACTCTCAAAATACTACTGCACTAATAGCCATGCAGCGACAGGGGTCAGGCATATCAGAACAGCTCCAACTACTTATACACAGTTGTTTTAATCGCTTTGTTTTCTTTAGCAAATCTCTCTTTTTCTCTCTTGCGGAAGAGAGCTGTCCGGCTTTGGTCATATTTTCATGCCCGTCGTGATTCTCTGATCACATAACAAATCAAATAAGAAAATGAAACAAAAAGAACACACAAAAAAAACGTTTGAAAATATTATTTAGTCTGTCATAGAAGTGCGTCTAGTTCAGAGGATCGAGAAACGATCCAAACGCAATCACTGCCACCTTGATGCTTCTGTTTCTGATGTAATAGTAGTGCATGGTGAATTTGGTCGCTTGTCTCTCCCAAGTCAACAACATCAGGTGCAGCGCAGAAAAAACGAACAGCCAGGTCACGCGTTGTGCTGTTTTAAAAACGGGTGAACTAGAAATCGGTTCATCTTATTGTAAAGAGCTTTAGAGTCGTGGCGAAGATGAAAGTTGGTTGCGATATAAGACGACCAATGGCGTATGCGACTGCTAGACGAACAAGCAAACAAGATCTTAGGTTGGCCATGAAGGCCTGGTCTACTTTTTATTTTCAAAATCACCAGAACGTTAAGCAGAACCGTGAAAGGGCAGGCGATGCTGTCGATGATGATGTTAATGATTTAAATAACCTTAACTAGAACAGTTAGCCCTTGCTCCTCAATAATGTTGAAAACCTTGTTAGTCAAAGTTGAACTTGAAGTATGCTTAGTATGCTGATGTCCGAGCCCACTGCAGAAAGCTATGTAAAGAGGACATGTATGTTTGTCCTCTCAATCGCGACATTTACATTTACATTTACATTATGATGACTGAAACCCGGTTGTTAGACGCTCATGAAATTACGCGACGTTAGTAAATAGCGCGGATTTAGTGGAAAACGACTTTCGAATAAAGAAAATTAACGCGAAAGAGAGGCTAACATTTCAAAATGAAGGAAATTAAACGCAACGTTTGCATGAACGCAACTAGTTGAGATAAAAGTAAACATTTAAATGTATGAATCGAAATGGAAACTTTATTTCTTCGCAGTACTTTCCTTAAACGTAGGAAGGGAGACAAGCGAAGAAATATGTTCTCTTCGAGGGTTCTGCACAGTTTCACCGTTACTGGCAAATCTCTACCCTGATAAAATACTTCTCTTTCTTAGGTGTCATGAACGTCAGAAGTGTACCGAGAAGTTTGGGGCCAAATAGTGGAAATTAAGGTCGCGGAAATTAACGCTCTACTTAATTAACGGCACGGAAATTAACGTTTACAGAAATTAACTAATGACTTAGGCCTGGTTCAGACGCCGTACTTTTCATGTGCCGAACCTAACTGAACAAGTTCGAATTTGGAGTGACACTGGCGCGACATATGATACGGACGGCGTACCGTGTGTCGAATCTAAGTTAAGTTCGACAAAAGTTCGACAGACTCTTTCGAACTTAACGCTTTTGCCGCATGCGCATCAAACTAAAACTGCCTTACCAAATTGATTCAGAGGCCGCTCTTTTGCCGTACTTAATTCATCAGTTAGGTTCGGCACATGAGTGGAGCGGCGTCTGAACCGGGCCTTAAATATCATGAAGTGTCAATTTCCTATAATATTAAGGTTTTGATGTTTCTATCTTAATTAATATCCACACTTTAATTTTGCTCCATTAGACAAATTTGTACCTGCGACCAATTAGTAGCTTCATAATGACAATTGCTTTCTTTATCCACTTCAGATAATGTTACTCAATTCGGAAATTTATTCAGAGCTTAACTTAGAGGTAACTTCTGGCAAGAGTGTTGCTTGATAGTTACGTCAATTTTTTTGTTTATTATTCTCAAACTACGGCCTTCCACCACTTAGGCTGAGTAACCTTTAAAGCACAAAGCACCGCTTTTCCTGTTGCATTTGAATATCTACTCAAAACTGATCGCATTAAAAGGAAATATTTTCCCCTTTTCTTTCTTTACCTAGTGGCTGAAATGAAGAACAAAATTTTTTTTGTACTCGAGAAGGAAAGGCACGTTATTATCTTACTACATTTTTCCTTTGGTTTTCCCACTCATCTATCCAGCGAACGCGAAGTACTTTTTTTTACAGATATCTGCACATGTAGAAACGCATTCTGAAATGCGCCGGGAATATAGTACAAATAAATAAATACTGAAATAAAAAGAACAACGTTATTTTCGCGCGCATTTGAAACTAGCGACTTATAAATCTCTTTTTGAACATCGGTCCTCAGTGGTTAGGATGGTCTATGATGAATTTGATCGGTTCAAGTCTATCCTAAGTTCGGGGTGAAGAGGATTGATGAGGTGTTCATTATTCCAATATTTTGTCTATATTTCATTATTCCACACAGAAAAAGGTCATTACTTCAATTCGAAATTTCCGTTATATTTTCCTCTTGAGCCCCAGACCCAAGTCACGAAATTCGGCGAAGCGATGTACAAACAACTCTCAAACAAACGAGACGCGCGTGGCACCACTTAGAAAAATGATGGCAACTACTGTAGTTATACTAATATTTCTTTAGTTCCTTTAATCAAATAACTTAAATAGACACGAGAAGGCCAGGCTGTACTGGAAAATTCGATCATTCATGGCGTCTTTTACTGTTAAACAAGCCAGCACGATTCTGGTTTTGTCGTTGAAGCATGGTCTGCTTTTCACAGTCAATATCACCAAAACGTTACGAGGAACCCAACAATGGTTTCTGCATTTCAAAGAAACACCCCAGAATACCAGAACCCTGAAAGGATGCCTGAGAAATGCTGAATGGGGACGGCGGCAGTGTTAGCTCAGTCGGTAGAGCGTGTTGACTGCAGATCGGGAGGTCGCGGGTTCGATTCCTGGGGCCGAACCAATACTCAGGGTCTTAAAATAACCGAGAAATGAAGGTACTCCCTTTGCACTGCAAGCGGGTAGACCTTCGCGTGGCTCGGATGACCACGTAAAATGGCGGTCCCGTCTCCAGTTGGAGACGTAAAATATAGTGTCCCCAATTAGTACTTTCGTGCTAAATACATTGACACTCAAATAAAAAAGTGCATATCACTAATCCTCTGAGTTAACTTGGTCTCTTCTTCTATGCCTTGATTTGATAACCTGCTGATCAGATTTAAAGCAGAGAAGTCGGGCATAGTGCGTAGGCGCCACCAATCAGACTGATGCAACTAAAAACTCTCTGCCAAAGTTTTGTGCTATTTCAAGGCAGAGTTGCCATCAACTCATCCCTATTTTCATTTTTTCTGCACTTTATTTAGCAAAGTCCATTTTAACCTTGATTAGTAGTTAATTTCGGGCGAATGATTTTTTAACGATATATTTTCGTTATCTTTTGGGCCTTTTAGCGTTGATTGCTTGTTTTTGTTGCCTTCGATACTGCTTTCGGCCCTAAAATTCTAGCTTAAATTTAAGGCCATGCATCCTCTTTTTTTTCTCCGTTTACCGTCGTCCGACCGACCCAAATTTTTGGCATTTTCAAAGAAAAAAAAAAGTAACGACGTATACGTAGTTACACCATTTTTCACTTGAAATAATTCTTTTTATCTGAAAAATGAGCATAGTAACAGCATAGAGAAAAACAGGAACAAAAACATGAACATTTTTCACAGTATATTGTACATTTTGTTAATCCAAATATGTGAATGTTAACTTTTAACGTCGTCCTGGGGTACCAGGGCCTACTATTCCGAGACTTCTTGTGATTTTTTTTTAGGTTTTTTTTTTCAATCCGACCGACCGACCCAATAACAGGAAACGCATTCGACGGGAAACGAAGAAAAAAAAGGGGGATAGCCAAAAGAACACACGTCTAAAACATAAACTCAAAGCCGACAGAGTTAACACTTGGTTTAGTTTTGTTGAGTTACCCGGAATAGTCAGGCATCAAAAGAGAGGTTCACAGTTCACCGAAAACTCAAAACACTCATGATTTATACAATAAAGGGATCAAATATAACCATTATCACATTTTTTCTTGCATTTTGCCAAAGCAATTTTTTTGCCGCGTCGACAATATAACAGATGCTTTCCTAAAAAGCTAACGGAAACGGTATGAGTCTTCTCTGTTAGTCTGTTTTTTTTTAAGCTATTTGTCCGTTCTGATCTGCCAGTGTGTTCCAAACGAGGGCCGGCTGATCAAATTAAGACTGTTAAACAGCTTAGCCTTTTCTTACTGGTTTCCATAGTTGTTCACCTTAGTTGACGGCATAAATTGGAAGCCTACCACGTCATTTTTAATTTCTTGTTTAATATCTTTCCCTCTACAGAGACTCTTTGCCGCGTTAAATCATTCAGTCTCAGCCAATCACATAACACATGTTTCCTAAAAATTTTCTCCCATGCTTCCAATTTGTAGAAAGGTTATTTAATGCGAAGCCTAATTAATAACTGTTCTCTTAACAGTAGCACAATAATAAAAGAGCCCCCAAAGTCAACTTTCTCCTGATTTCGGCAAAAAACACTTTGTAAGATTTGGAGAATCCTCTGGTAAGACGTCTGGTAACCTTGAATAGATTCAAGCACTTCTGGCTAATTGGTTGCTTTCTCTTTCTGTCTCCTCTATTTGTAATAATAAACATTGTTGATACTTTTCAATCCGAAGGCTTGTTTTTCGAGTGGTTCGTCGCCAAGGGGATAGTACAAGTTTGATAAAATAAATCAGCTCTTTTTTTAGGAACATCCTGTTGAAGAGTTTTTTTTTTTTAATTTTAGTGCAAGTTTGCAAAAATGATCAGTCATTCGGACAACCTTCCAAGTTCTCGGCCCCGCTGTGGTTAAATAAAATTAAACAGCTGATAAATACATTTATTATTCATTCAAAATATTTCCCCGATTCTGATTGGCCAAAAGCACACGCATAATTAACAATTAATGAATGAGGCTGAGTATCTTATGAAGAATTGACCACTCCAGAAAATACCATAACATACCATAATGCTCTTTGTTTGTGACCCCAAAATTTTGCATAAGCATTGTCTTCGGTTTCTCCTGAGAGTTAAAATGGCCCCAAGGGAAACTGAAAACAATGCTTATGCAAAATGTTGGGGTCACAAACAAAGAGCATTATGTTAGGTTATGGTATTTTCTGTAGTGGTCAATTATGGAGCTGTTATTTATTGAAATCCTTTCCTTTTCGTAGGTTACAGAAACGATAGTTTTTTTTATCACATACTAAATCCTTATATTTCGAATGTTACGCAACAATGCCGATGCTCGCCTATGCTCATATTTCGAGCTTGGGCTACCTGTGCTGTGTCGTAATAAAACTTATGTTATCCAGAGCGTTCAGTCTATGTGTAAAACTTGACAACTGAAGAATTTAAGCCGGGTTTAAGCCGGCGTTTAAGTTTAAGCCGGCGTGACCTAGTGACCTAAGCATTTTGCTCTGTTGCTGTGTTGGTTTGAATTACAAAATAATAATAAGATTTTTCAAGCATTGAATGAAGCTAATTGAGTCCGTCAAATACCTGGACAGAAAGCATGGCGCTCCAAGTTGCGTATTCTGTTACCGATGATGCATTTAACTGTCTCAGATCAAAGATGTATTATATGAAATAACTCATACGTCCTGTCGAATGTCCACGTGCGACCACCTCCTGTAGTCGACCACCTCCTATAAGCGACCACCTTCTCAAAACACCAAAAATATCC